ACTGTTGAGAAGGTCGACATAACTAGGAGATTGGCTATATGGATTCAATGGGTTCCTTGATTCCATAGCGATTAAAGGAAGGAGGGGGATTATAAAAGATAGAAGAGAAAGCGGAGACAAACAAGAGGGAAAGAGATTGTGACAAGAAGAATGAAAGTGCGTTTGTGTTTAAATAGGAGAAAGAGTAAGAACTGGTAAGTACGAAAACATAAAGACGCAACCAGAAACTACCAGGGTCATATCCGAAGTTATTATGGTCATAACAACCCAAAAAGCAAACTAATGTATTCGACTTTTAGTTTCAAACTAAATCGGAAACAAACTTCACTTCAATCACAAAGACCCAAACAATAATTGACATAAAGATCTACTAAACATTTACGACTTTTAGTTTCAAACTAACTCGAAAACAAACTAAGTAGAAAACTCAGTTCAACGTCTTTCTTAAATGAGCACACCTACTTGTAACAGAAGTTATTACACTCATAACAACCAAAAAGCAATCAAGTAATAAGTACGAAAACATAAACCTATGGTATACAATGAAACACAGAGACCTATGGTTCACGAGTTGTGTTCAAACTCGACTAAGTACTCATCAAGTAAATGAATAAAAACATTGCCTTTCTAACACCAATAACTAAACCTATGGTATACAATCAAACACAGAGACCAATAACTAAGTTTCAAGTATATTTACTAAAAAAACTCACTAATCAAACACAGAGTATACAATCCAGGAAAACAATCCGTCACTTTAACCAAGTATACAATCAAACACAGAGATCAGTGCACAATTCATTACAAGAAACAGACCAATCAAACTCAGATTCACCAACAGAAAACACGAAGTCAAACCAAACCGTCAAAAAAAGACCAATCAAACACACATTCACCATCAAAAAATAACTGAAACAAACCAAACCGTTAAGAAAAGATCAATCAAACACAGATTCACCATCGAGTCCAGAGACAGAAGAAATACCTGGTTTCGTTTCGATTCTGAGTACAAGCGAGGCGGGCTCCGTCTTGATTGACTGAGAATACAGAGATCTTGACCAAACACAACGCATGCAA